TTCTGATACACAGTTTATTAGCAAACAAACTTTAAATATTAGAACTTATCTTAACTAGTTTTAAACTGTAGATGTTTCAATGTAATGCACATTTTCTTCCTGATTTTTCAGCATATATTTGATTATCTGGAAATATTTTTTTTATTTATTATTAAGTTTATTGGCTGCTCATCTTACCACAGGATAACTCTGCTACATTATATCTTCCTGAGCAATCTATTTACAGATACATTCCTACAGCTGTACTCTTACATTTAAATTCAGCTGTTTAGGAAAATAGTAATTGGTTTAGCAGGTATTGAGTTTTCAGCTTAAAAAAAACTAACTGAAATTTAACTATTTTATCAGTTTCTATGTTGTACAATGTTTTTAATGTACAATAAAATAATTAAGCATGTCTCCAATGTACAAAAAATAACTGATTTTTGGACACAGTTGATGCAAATTTGCCATATACAACTAATGGCTTATTTGGTAAAGAAAAAAAAAGATTAAAATGTTTTTAAAATATTATTTTTATCAAATTTATATTGCATATGAGAGATCCTATTGACACTTAAAAATTAAAGGAAATGAAAATGATTGCTTTATTAATAAAAATAAATTACATTGGGCTGTTAACCATTAGAGGAAAATGAGATAAATGAGAATTGGTGTTTTCAACTTAACATTCTTATTCTAATGAAGTATCAGTTATCCCCAGATGCTTTGAATTCAGTAGTGTAAGTTAAAGGAAATATAATAGAAAAGAAGAAAAATGAAATGAAGACAACAGAGAAGATAATTCTGCAATATTCTGAAGTTAATTAGAGGCAATGTTTTAATTTTAACAAAAGGGGGGAAAGGGAAGAGAAAGGCTAATATACTCTTGATAAAATGTAATCATCAAATGTTAAATTATTGTTAATTCTTTTTGCCATGACTGAATATAGGCAGATTTTCCCATTCTTAAAAATGATTTTGCAAGTTCTTGTTGTTTAATTATTTAGCTATATCTACTGAAATTACTATGCATCTACTGAATCCTTTTCATTCATCACTTAAATTTTCAGTCAGAAAAGGAGCAAAGCCTCTTGGTATTTTAAAGCCTAATAAATGTGTTGTGACCTAAGTAATATTTCCAGTTGGTCTCTCTCTCTCTCTCTCTCTCTCTCTCCCCCTCCCTCCCCCCTCTTTTGCCCCTCTCTCACACAAAGACACACACAGAATTAGACACAGAAGACTACATATGAAAACAAAACAAAATTAATAACATTAAGACTGTTTACTAACTTCATAATAAAAGCATTGTCATGTTTATGAGACACATAATGTAGATATACACTTTTTAAAGTCAAAACAATTATATTAGGAAAAAATGAATGCAGTATTATCATCTATAAATAAGCCACTGAAATTACAAAATGTTAGGTGTGTGCTATTTTTGCAGGCATGTTTAAAATCTGGTGTTTTAAAAGACCATAAGTTCACAAAAGTTATTCAGGGCACCTTGATTATTCAACCTGAAAGACCAAAAAGTATACAGATAAAATGCTTTAATTGCAAGCAACTGTACCTCAGAGGGAAGAAACCATGTATCAGGGAAACTATTTTAAGATCTTTACCAAGTGGGTAAATTGGTTTGGGAAATGGATTCAAAGGTGATATTAAAATATATTTATGTGTACAAATAAAAAATAATTTTAAACTACCTTCAGACTGTTTTTTAAAGAAGTTGCTAATTTTAAATATTTCTGTAAACACTTGTTAGTTTTTGCATGAATTGATATTTCAGAAATGAAATTTAGGATATAATTTTTAGGGGGAGTTCTAATAAAAATAGCGTAATAATTGTAAAATCTTTTTTTAAAAGTAATCAAAGAAGGGCTTATTAAGTTACATTCATATTTGCTAAAAAAATCGAATTCATTTGTAGACCTTAATGTAAAAAAAAAACAACATTTAAGGATTATCTCTATCTAGATCCCCATTACTATAAATTTCATTCATCCAATCTCTCCAGAAGATTTAAAAAGATCAAAGCCCCTGATCGCTACCATTTTAGGAGCCCAACTTCGTATTTCTAAAAGCAGAACGGAATTTCCAGACTGCTGTTCTCTGTAGATCAAATTTCTAGTTCAATTAGAAAATCGATCTCTCCTGCCCACCTTTCACCCTCAATAGTTGTAATGGGATTTTTGGTTAAAGTCATGTTTTGCTTTAAAACAAAACAAAGCAACCTCTGGCAACCTCACTGCGAGTTCATTATAAGGACTCAAGTCTTCCATTCATAAGCCCTGTGCAAATCAAGAATCCAAATGAAAGTTTTACTCTAGCCGGTTTTTTGGAAGAGAGCATGCAGCCATTTAAAGGGCCAGCACATTCCGACGATGCAAGCTCCCCATCCCCCCAGCCATTTCCCTTCCCCGCCCCTCCCCCTGCCAGTCTCTGGATTGGTGGGTTGTGACTGGCATGCTTTAGTTTAAAGATTTCCATCTCTGCTTAATAATGGCAGGCACCCACGTTGCTGAGGGACAGTTGGCGCCTCTTCAGAGGCAACTTAGCTATTGCCGTGACTAAATCCTTTCATTCCATCCCCTCCTCCTTGAGAAGATGGAAGAGCATTAAAAGTGAGGCTGGGGGTGGGGTAGCGGCTAGGAGGGTTGCATCCACCATCTTCCCCTTTGTCCTCCGCTCCCTATTCAGAAAAGCGTCCTTGTTCTGCCTGGATCTTGTCGGCTTTCTTCAGCTCCCCAAAGTGGGATGCGAAGAAAGCCGCGCGATTTTTCTACCTGCGTAGGAACAAGAAAGAATTCACGGGACTTTCTTATATTGTACCGCAACGCTAAACAGCGGTCTTTAAAAGCTCTTGGACCATTGCACAAAATGGGACGCTTCTGGACAGGCGTGCTATCCAACTGGGTTGTAAAAAGCTGAATTCAAATGTTTTTCGGCGCGCAACACATTTTCTTTTCTCCGTCTCGCGTATCAATAAGACGGCTCTCCGCAGACCTCCCCTTTTTGTGCCAACCAAAGCGCCTTTTTCAATAACCGGACTCGCCTCCTCCCCCGAAGATGGATGGGCGCTTCAAGGGGGTGGGGTGGGGTGGGGGAGACAAGGTGCACATGTTGCCTCGCGCGGCACAAGGGTTAAGCGGAAGCGGCTTCCCTCGCCGCCCTTTTGGTTGGTGGAGAAATATATAATTATTTTCAAGATCTTTTACTAATGTCCATTCGTGGAACCAAGCGAATGTTTGCGCGCCTATCTTGGAAGCCCTTGCCCCTCCTTTCTTGTCATCCCCCCTTCCTTTTAAAGTATTTGTATTGTTTGATCGGGGAGTAAAGAGTTGATGAAGCAAGAAACCAACCAATCAGCCCTCTCGCCCTACAAATTTAAGGTGCGGAAAAACAGGACAGTCGTAAGGCTGAGGCAGTTAGAAGGAACAAGGTATAGGGCGAGTCTAGCGGGCTTTTTTTATTCATTCCGATGAGGAGTCGGAGAACAAGGTTTTTTTTTATCCATTCTGATGAGGAGTGGGAGAACAAGATTTCCCATCTTTTCTCCCATTTTAAACGTCGGTATTTGAGGCGAAAAAGGGGACCTCCGAGCCAAGCCTCTCTTGATTGTGAAAAAAACCCCAACGGTTTTAAGAAATCGCCTTGAGGTTGCAAAGGAACACCGTGGCGTGCCGGTACGGAAATAACTTCCAGACGCTGTCTCTTCTTGCTTGCTTTCGCGCAAAAACTGTATAGGCATTTGCAACTATTCGTTACAAAAGTGGAAAAGCTTTTCTACCTTAGTGTTGTGGTCAACACTAAAATGGTGGCACGCGTAAATAAAGATCAACTTGGAAGCAAATGCGATTTCGGCACCAAAGCTGTTTTCTCCTACACCCCAAGTTCCAACTGTACTGGTTTTAGTTCTTGAAGACTCGCGTCTCTCAATTTACATCGGTAAAGGAGGTTCACCTTCACATACCCTTTGTCCCGCGTCACCTATTCCCACGATTGCATTTGGCCAAACCCGACTTTTTAAAATCCCTTCTCACTAACGTGATCCCAAGCCTGAAAAACAGCAAATAAAAGTCCGGGTCTGATGCGCCCACACACTGAGCGTCACCTTCCACCCCCTTCGCTGTCTTTACTTTCTAGGGAAGCAGAACTCCGATTAAGTTTATACCCAGAAAATCTCATCCAAAGAAGCTGGGGGGAGGGTGGGAGAGCAGGCCAGAAAAACAGGAGGGGTCTGCGAGGGAGGCTGGGCTGTGGTCCTCCTAGCAGGGAGAGGAAACCAGGAATTAGCGTCCTACAGCTGCGCTTCGCTGAAGAAATGCGCTCGTTTGGAAAACATTCTCATCACAGGAGAAGAACCGATGGAAACTGTAAATAAAAAAACTCAGTAAGGTTGAGAAAAGACAACATGCCTCGGAATAGGAGTATTCTATGTGTAGAAAGGGTGCCCCGCCCCTTTTTTGGCTCCACCACGTGGCTTCCTCTTGCAAACATTTTCACTCATTTTTCCAGGTCGATTTTATTTAGGGGCGGCGCTAAGTCCTGCCTCACAGTCGGAGACGTCCTTTGCCTCTTTCTCTCGGTCTGCGTGTATGTGTGTGCGCGCGCGCGTGTGCGACACACATGAGTTGCGACTCAAAAGGAGTTGGGGGGCCACTGGAAAAAAAAGAGCCATTTTCCCAAGCCCGCCATACGAACTTGCATCCAAATCAACCGGCCCCATTGATTCTGCAAAACAGGGAACATTCCCCCCTCTTTCCTCTTAGATTATCCCCCTCCCCCTTTCCTTCCCACAGCCAAAATAGCCGGTTTTTCTTACTTTGCTAGGCTCCCAACATAGAATAAGAAACTTTTAAAATATAAAGCAATTGTTAAAAGTTTCGGAAAGCCTACTCGTCTTCCTCTCTCCCCACCCGGTGTATGTGAGTTATTTTCTTCCTTCCCTCCCACCTCCCGTGACTCACTCCCGTTTTGGACCTACCCAGCATTTTGTGCAAAACGCATCAGCCATGAACAAGCTGTATATTGGAAACCTCAACGAGAATGTGACTCCGGCGGATCTGGAGAAAGTCTTCAACGACCACAAAATATCCTTCTCAGGCCAGTTCTTGGTGAAGTCTGGCTACGCCTTTGTCGACTGCCCAGATGAGCAATGGGCTATGAAAGCCATCGAAACTTTTTCTGGTAAGCCAATGGATTTATCGCTCGCTCGTTCTATCTTTTTCATCTCTTTTTTTCCCTTTTCCTCTGGAAGCCTTTGGGATTTTGGAATGAACAATTGCTTTACAAAAAAAAAAAAAAAAAAGCAAACCAGCATAATTTTATAAAACGCATACTATCACTCAGAACCGCAAATACTAGCGGGCCGGTTTTTTATGTGTGTGCAAAGACTCGTAAAACGTGGTGTACAAAGATGCGACCAGGCAGCCACACTTTGCTCGTACTCGTGCTTCCGCCCTTTCTTTCTTTAGCTCTCTGTAGTCATCAATGAAAGTTACTTTCGTTTCGTATTTTCCCTTCAACCACTGGGAGGGGGTCAATCTTTCGATTTCCCCCTCCCACTTTTCTTCTCGAGTATTGAACGAGGTGGCGAGTGTTTTAACTTGTTGGGCCTACAATTTCTTATCAACTTCCATAGGCTTTCTAGAGGACTCTTGTTTTTATTAACCAGCCAAAATGTCCTCCTCACTTAATAAAGTACCCCTATTCTTCTACTAGCATATTACATAAAACAGGCCTTTCCTATAAACAAAATCTCATTTGGCAAACCTTGAATTAATATTCCATTTGTCTGTATGTAGGGGAATGGGTGATTTTTTTCCCCTTCAGAAAGCAACCCCCGCCCCATTTTTCCTCCCCAAATTAGTCATCTCTTAACAAATAAACAAAACTCTCCATCACTTTAATATCTTCTTTGGGATCAAAGCTGCCCCACTCCGCGTTCTTTCAATGCCTTTTGGGATTTATCAAGCAATCCAGTGTTGTATTTTTGCATTTTAAGCGTGTGTGGTACTTCAGAGTGGGAAGTGGGGAAAAAGGAGGGGAGGTGTTGGACTTTGGCCATTTTGATTTAAACAGGGGTTTCCTGGGGCATGTGATGGGTGTATTAGCCTGAAGGTCGCCATGCTGTTTAGAGATTTGAGACAAGAGAAGCAGACGGAACTAGCAGAGCAACCTAATGTTGACTTTTGCTGAGACCAGATGTTTTGTTCCCTATTTCAAATACCACATCAGAGTTCTGGGCCTTTTTAATGTCACCTTCTTCTCAACTGCATAATGTTTTAATTTATCTTCTTTAAAAAAATGAAAAGATGATATGAATTATCTTGAAAGGCAAGCAAGTTGGACATCGGTATAGGCCTTACCATTCCTGGTATTTTTCTTTCTTTCCCTGGTGAACCAGATCTTGTAATGTGTATATGAAAATGAGTTAAATTGTTGCCCTTGAAAAAATGTGTTTCATTTTTTTAATCATATATTCTCCATTTGAAATCCATTATTATTATTTAATTAAGAGTAGAAAGATAAGAAGGTCAGGTAGGGATTTTTATGGTAAAATGCACCTGAATCCCCCCCTCCGTTGAATTAAAACATGAAGAGTAGGGGAAGGAGTAGAAGTTGAGTTATATATGACCATTGATATCCACCTTTTCCTTTTTCAGTATATTTTTTAAAAAAAGCAAACTTGTGTTTTTAGGCAAAGTGGAGTTGCATGGGAAACAACTTGAGATTGAACACTCAGTCCCTAAAAAACAAAGGTAATCCAGTTATTTGTTTTCTTTGAATTTATCTATGTTGAAATGTGACAGATAAGATAAAATGTGTTAAAAATGCTAAGCTGGTATAAACAAAACTAAGTTGCAAGAAGAATGAATTTACTTGAACTAAATTACTTGAAAAACAAACACACTTTTAAAAGCCTTGGGTAAACTGGTTGTTTATTTCTTTTCACCCCAAATTACTTTGGATGCATTAAAGAAACAATTAAATACGGATAGATATTATTATTATTATTCATAATCTGTGTTTTGGCTTAAATTGCAATGTTACTTATGCCAATTTCAACATACGATTTGCTTGTGCTATGGTGTGTGTTTTTTTAAATCAACCTTTTTGATTTTAAATTCTTGTTAAAATTGAGCAAATTAGAAATTTATTGGCCCATTTTTTGGATATGAAAAAATACTTGCTTTCTACTTATTTCTGTAAAAACACTTCATATTTTTGTGTGTGTATGTTTTTATGTAGTGTTATTATTGCATTTTATACGTTTTTGATCTTTTGTTTATTATATTGCTTATCTAGTTTTATTTTGGAAGCTTTCACTAAGTATGTTATAACAAACAGCTTTTTCCTTCAGAAAAAAGTTGCAATTACTCCTTAGTCATATAAATCCTAGAAAGTGAACATAAAATGTACAAAATATATTAATATTAGAAATTGTGATTCTTTTTGGGGAAGAATCTAATGGGGGGAAGGATAGCTGCCTGTTAATGTAATTGAAAAGATTATTTTTGTGCATGATTGACATCACAATTTCCTGATCTTGTGTTCACACTGATTCTCATACTTCTTGGACTTCCAAACCTTATATAGAATGTATTGCTGGAAGACTAAAAAAAAAACCCAGGTTTTCTGAGACATTGCAGGAGTGCCAAAATGTGTTTGATTAATTTATTAAACCAGTAGTGTGGATTTAGTATAATGGATGAACAATAATATTTGTAAACAGTCTTTGTAGCTTAATATACAGAGTACGTATGGTGTTAAAGGAGGTCTAACAGAAATATATTCAGGAAGCCAATTCCACTGTGAAAAAAATTTAAATATTGTGGGGGGATTGGTAGCTGGAGGAGGAGGAAGAAAAGGAAGTTTACTCTTGATTCTTTTATAATGCTGAAATCAACCAATATATGTAAATTAATCAATTGCAGAATTGTGTACTTAGTGCATTATCTTCAATGCCTATAAATATAAGAGATAAGTTTTCAAAAAAATCAGATATTTTCCTAGATTAATATTAACACATCCTTCTCAGTAATTACAATGGTTGGGTTCAAGATTTTAAAATCTGCCCAAAATTTTAGATCATATCATTTACTATATGCTAATATTTATAGATTTCCTTGATACATTTTGAACCCTGTGCTCAAATATAATGAAGTTTCTATAATGATTTCTTCCAAGAGAATTTATATTTAATTCTTATAAAAATAGATTGCTGATTCTACTGGATTGCTAGGTGGAGTTTCAAGTATGTGTGAGTGTCTTTTTCAACTTGCCATGGGACTTGATTTTCCTGTTTGGAATGATAACCAGAGGAGGAACTAGTTAATTCAGAATGTTTAGAATAGTCTCAATAATAATATATCTAGTGAGATATGTTTTCCACCACTTATCAAAACTTATAAATATTGCCACTAATTTAGGTAAAGAAATACATAGGAATAGCTCTCTATATCTTTCAAGTTATCAATATAAAATAAATCACGCTCTGCTTATTTCATTAAAAAAACATGATTAACATTCTTGACCCTTGTTCAAACTGTTTCCAGATGCATTGAATTGTAGTTCCCAGAATCCCCTTCTGATATGATTCATGGAGGCAAGGAGTTTTAGTTCACTATGTCAAGAAAGTACAGGTTAGAGATGGCTGAATTAGAAAATGAGAAATTCAGCTTGTCTAAGGAGAATAGTTTTGGTTAGCTTAAATATTTATGGAATCAGATGCAAAAATTGTAAAAAAAAAAAGCATTTGGTATATCTTAAAATTTAACTTCATCAGCATTGAAAGTTATTTCAAAAACCTTTCTTCATTTTATTGAATTGGCTCTTGAAAAGTACAATTTGATTTTATTTATTTTTAAAATTTGTATGCCATTCATCAAAAGAAACAAATTTGAGATCATATATCTAGCATAATTAGCTAACAAATGCATTTTGAGGGTAAATGTTTTCCTTTTTTATAAATAACTTTTAGGTTATGATAATTTTACTCAATCTTAAATTTTAAAAAGTTGCATTGATTCAAAAGAACTTTTCCAAGAAAGTGTGCTTTAATTTGCAACTTGAATATGCATAGATTTAGAAAAAGAAGGCTGTGTGTTAGGAGTGCTTTCAGTTCAACATTTATTGAAAGAGAAAAAAAGTTGGAGAAAATTTGCAATTTTGTCTCTAAAAAGCAGCAAAATTCTGTTGGTGAAGGAAAGAGTTAATTAAAACAACCTCAGAGATGTTTTAAGAACTCAAGAATGTTAAAAAATGTTTGGAGGTTAGGGGCGGGGTTGTCTCCCTCTGAAAAGATTGAAGTGGATAGAATTAGAGAGGTTGGGGGGAGAAGAACAAATAAGAATGGGTAAAAAAACAAGAGGAGGGGAAATTAAGTGCAACCATCAAGCAAGCATTCCAAATAAGAGGATTGGAAGAAACTAGCCTAAACAGAATAAATCTTTAAGAACTGAAGTAAAAGAAATGGTTTCAGAAGCATGTTTTTAGCAAATTAGAAATAAGTATGGTTTTAAATCTTGTTGCCTACAAAAGGATTTTTAAAATAAATCAGGATGTGTGTGTTTGTTTATATACTGATACTTCCTGTTGATAACATGTTATATAAGTTAGTGAATAATGAAGTTGTCCTGTGGCTTCCATTATTTTCAAAGAGTGTGGGTCCCATCGTGATAGATCTAAAGGGACAATTTTGTCTAAGAAAGACATTTATATATTAAAAAATATTCTCTTATTTATCTGCTCATGTATGTGTTTTTTTTAAAAATCCATGTCCTATCTGGATTGCTATGTTTTACCAGTTGAGTACCACTGCGCATTTTAAAGATGAATATAAATATTCAAGGTTCTGTAAAAAAAGGGGGATGAAATATTTCGATGGATGTTTATGTAATCCTGTATAGCTTCAATTGAAGTTGGTAGAATCTGTGGTGGTCTGTACAGAAAATAAATATGTCCTTTATTAATCCGTTCAGATTATGCCATCAATATTCCATGGTAAATGTCTGCAGTTTGCATCATAAAACTTAAAGGAACAATTTACATTATTTTCTTTATGTTAATTTATATTAATTGTTTTCCAATAAAAAGTTTAAGATTATACTTGTTTGCATCAACTATAATAGCCTCAGCAAAAGGTGAAATATCTTGTTGTTGCTAAAAGTATTCATGCAAATATGTTAAATATATTATTCTATATTTTTTCTGTTTTGCTATCTATAGAAACCTTTGCAGGATTTACCTGTAAGATATTGTTATCTTTTTGCATAGGCAAGAAATAAGGCCAGTTTATGACCTGAATTAGCTTGTAGTAATAAACTTTAAATAAAAGCAAGCAAGCTAAAAATTATATATAGACTTTGCATGTATGTACTATGAATTGGTTCCAAGTCCAAGAATTTGAGGGACAGCTGAATGCTGACTTCCCATTGCTGTTCAGAAATAAAATTAAGAATGAACTCTCAAAATAATACTACTCTGTTATGCAACCAACATGGAAATGTAGGTATGAGAATGTATGATCACAACAGACCCTGAGAAACACAAGTTCCTGGTATAGAAATATAACATCATGATTTGTTTGGGATATTGCATGTTTCATATTTTATGCCATTATTGAATATGTGCTAATGTTCCCATGCTTTAGGCATAATAGATCCGCATAAAAGAAACTTCACATATTTTTGGAAAAAAATTGCTTATTTTTTTAGGTTAAGGATAGACGTCCTATAGGTCACTTGCAGCAATCAAGATTAGGCTGGAGGAATTCATTGGCAAAATGGCTTAATTTTTATTTGGGAGAGGTTAATAGAGAATAAGACAATTTGCCTTTGAGAGGTCTGCTCCCATACATACCTTTAAAGCCTTCCTAAAACCAAAACAAGTTCAGAAAAAGTTGATTGTGTCCTGTCTGGTGATTTCACAGGATCATTAGTTAACTTCTGTTAGAGTGTTGTAGTCCTTTTACCCACAGATGTTGCACACCCTGCTTTTGAAAATTAACAGAAATATATCTCTAATCAGAAAGATGAGTTATATTGTATAGACATTTGAAATGCAATCCTGACAATGTTTACTCAGAAGATAACTTCATGTGAAATTGCAATCTTGCTGAGTTTTTATAATTTTAAAGTGTCAAGGGAAGGAAGTAGGAAGTTGCAACCTGTTTCATCTAGTTAAAACAGAATTTTTTTCACTAGTAAAAAAAAACCTTTAGGTTTGCAAAGAAAAAAAGGAATAGAGTTAAATTAACAAAATAAATAACTTCATCTAAGGAATAGTGGTTTTTGTGTTAAGCTGCTCAGATATATGAATATATGTATGTGATCAAATTGCATATGCAAGTATTAAAGACTGGTTGAATTAAAGCATATTTTTCATATTCCACCTTGTGCTGAAATCCATTGACCAACTAAAAGCATTGCCAAGCCTAGACTGGAGAATTAAATGAATCAACGTAATTCCTGAGATACAAATTGCCTTGAAAAATTGCAAGTTGGAAGCCTGTGAAATTGCATTCTTGCAATATGTATCGTATTTGCTGTTCCCCATTAGTGAAATAATAATAATAGTAATCATCTTCATAGGTGGGTTATGAGAGCTTGAACTTCAGAATAAATCTAAAGTAAGAATTGGTGTGCATAATGGCTTAGTAATATGACCCATAGATAAAGAATTCTTCACCTCAAATCTTGCTGGTGTCATGATAGACAAACCATCTTCCTGCTATAATATCAGAGGTGATTACTATATA